TGCTTGGTTGTCTGTCTCTAAGTGTAGCCCTGTGATAGACTGGTTACCTGTCCAGGTGAACCTGCCTTCACCCTGAGTCGGCTGGGATAGACTCCGCCCCCCACAACCCCAGTGAGGATTAAGGTGTAGAGATGGACTACAGAGTGATAGCAAACACATACAAAACAAAAACAACTGATGAAATGCGATCAAGGACACAAAAAGCTACAAATAGATGCAAAGTGACGACAAACAGCTTCAGCAAAATGAATAAAAATATATGAAATATGACAAATCGATATGAAATGACCACAAAGAGGCTGTTTCTTGATACCATAAGTTTAATAAATGGGATCAGAACTCAAGTGTCGTCTCTCCTCTGCAGTCTCCACACCTTCAGGGAGGTTCCCCGGTTCCGGGTTCTGGTTTGTGGGGGCGACGGGACGGTCGGCTGGGTTCTGGGAGTCCTGGAGGCAGTGAGGCACAAACTGGTGTGTCGGGAGCCGCCGATCGGCATCGTCCCGCTGGGAACAGGTGACATCGACGCTGCCGGGTTCATTCATACCCTGATACGTCCGTTTGCTTTTCTTCTCGGTGCCTTCACTGGTTCTCCTGACGCAGCAGGACTGTCTCGTCCCTTCAGGTAACGACTTGGCTCGGATCCTGCGTTGGGGTCCCGGCTATAGCAGCGAGGATCCTCAACACATCCTGGTGTCTGTGGATGAGGCCGACGAGGTTCTGATGGACCGCTGGACCATCCTGCTGGACGCTCAGGACTTCTCCGAGGACGGGAAGGACAACGGTTTCCTGGAGCCACCAAAGGTCTGTTTGTACAAACCTGTAGTTACACTAAAGGAACAGAGTCTGGTTCAGACATGTCGCTCTAAGTTTAGATGGTTGGAGTTTTTTAATTCAGCTTGACACATAAAAAAAATGGTTAAATTTGGATCAGAGTTCCAAATGAGATCCACAAAAAGAAGTTGACAGTCGCACAGAGATCACTGACATCAGGACAACATGAACTAAAGTTTCCATCACCTGTAAGGATCATGTACATCAGCTGTTAGCTTCAGTTTCCAGTGACTCCTAAACTCTTCATTTTCTGGAATGTAATCTTTGAAGCACATGAATCTTTATCACACACACAAAAGCAATCATGCTTTTCAGTTCTTTCAT